CTTCCCCACGGCATCATGATTTTTAGATATCGGCGGCCGTCGTGTCTCTCCTGCACCTCCTCTGCCAGGAGGAAGAGGAGGAGGAGCTGCCAGGGGCTGTGGGAGACCAGCATTCCCGGGGAAGATGCCCCCAGGAGACAAGGATGGGGGTTTTTTTTTGGCCGGCACGGCCCTGGTGGCTCAGCCCAAGCTATTTCTGGAGGAGAATGTGTAAGGGGATACTGCTCTCCGCTGCCGGGGCGGCTTCAAAGCCAGCGAAACATCACCCAGCGCCCGCCGCAGCGGGAATATCTGGGCACATATGGCCACTAGACATAGCTACGCCAACAGCTATAGATAAGCTTCGGGATACCGAAGTCGGCTTTGTTTGTCAGCCTATAGAAAAATATCGATAGAGGAGGACGTAGCCGAATCCTTGCGGGGTGAAGTTAAGCGAGAGCCAGGCCTGGTCTAAAAAAAAAAAGGCTCCCTCCCCTTCTCTGTTTACATCCAGGACAAAAGGCAGGGGATTAAGCAGCTCTATACAAGCCCCGGTGCCGGCCAACCATTAAATATAAGACGGTAAGAAGATTTTATTTTAAGTCACCTCTAGGGCACAATTAAGCCTAAAGTTTCCTATTCTATTGCCGAGCTTTCACCTCGGGACGCGGCGTACGCCGCAAGCTCAGCGAGAGCAAACAAAAGCCTCGGGATCAGCGTCGGCTTGCGGGACAAGCGGAGCGAGTCGAAGTTAAAAGCAGTTTCTTTTGACACAGGTGATTCTGCCAAGTGGCTTTGATCGGTTTTAATCAGGTGGCAAGCAGCAGAGAGCCGAGCAAGCTGGCTGTTTAACAAGGGTTAAACCCACCCAAAAACGCTTTGCATTTTAGTCCCTGACCTCGGTGAAAGGTTTTATAGGGCGGACTGAGGGGAGAGAGCCGGGGAACCGCCTGGGAGCTGCAGGCAGCGAAGCCACAAGCTCAGTTTTTTAATCTTCCCGAGCGATACGAGCAGGAGAAACACGAGTGTTTCTGGTTTCAGAACCCACCCGTGGTGACCAGTCAGTCTGATGGGACTGAAGAACAAAAAAAAAACCAACGCGTTATTGTTACTATATTCTTATTTTTAAGGAGGTTTTCAAGGGGGTTTTACTTTAAAGGTGAAGCTCTTGGTTATTTTTCACTGGATATTCTTGCTTGCCCTACGGAAAGCAGGATTTAGATCCGCAGAAAGAGCCTTCGGCGCCGATGCACACCGAGCTACTTTATTACAGTACTGGGTGCAACCCAGTGACTAATACAGTACTGAAGCTTTAAAAAAAAAAACAAAACAAAAAACACCCAAAGCAAACAGCATTTCATTTTGATGACAAAAAGCAAGCATTTTTTAAATACTCAGTAGAGCAGCAACAGAGGGTGGTGCCTCGGCTCCCACGCGCCGGGAGAGGGATGTTCTTAACTCGATTAAGGGATCGGCCGGCCTCTTGGCCGCGCGTCAAGCTCTCTGGAGGCATTTCCAGCGCCGCGCCGGCCGGAGAGGGGAAAGAGGAGAAGGGAGGGGAGAGCCTCGTGTAAGGGACGAGAGTATTTCAGCAGAAAGGGGCTGGGGAGGATCCTCCCGGCATTCCGTAAGGACAAAAGGACGTGGGAGCAGGGCTGGAATAGGCTTTATCAGTATCTGCCAAGGGCACTCGGCGTCCAGCGCTGGTCCCCGGCTCAGGGTGGCGAGATCTTTACGGCGTATCGTCCGTCACGGGGGCCGGGCACTCCCCTCTCTTACACGTTAGGCTTGAGAAATGGATTTCTCATTAAGGGTTTTTTTTCTCATTAAGGGTTTGTTGTTTTTTTTTTAACATTCTACACCTGCAGGTCATAAATCCCACTGCCCGGACTCCAAAAAGTGTGATACAAGCCTTCCTAGGACCTCTTCTCGCCCTTCAAGGCTGGATTTGGACAGGCAAGATAGGCTAGGCTTTCTGTGGCTCTCGGTAATTACACTAATTAATGGAAAAGGGAAGCTTAGTAAGACCCGACAGGGTCTCGGGGGGCCGATTTCCCCAGCCACCAGCACGGCAAACTTCAACCTTCCTCGAGCCTTAGCCCGTTAACTCTTTTAAAAGAAGCCGTGCAACGGCCCGAGGGAAGATGGATGAGCCAGAACCGCGAGGCAACAAGCCTCCATACGTTCTGCAGAGCATTTGACTATCTTTGGAAATATTTAGTAAATTAAACTTTATTTCATGCTTTCAAGCTGTAGCTCATCATACCGTATATGTCTGCGTTCCAGGAGGCGGGAACAACTGGCAGAGGAACTGGTATTTTTCTAACGTCTTAACCCCAGAGGAGCTTCTTCTTACCTCGCTCCTCGGGGTGCTGAAGTCTTTTTGGGGCTGCTGACCTGCCTTACGTGCCCAAAATCTACAAGCTCTGGGGTCTAAAGCTACCGCCAGGACAAGGGGAGAAAGCGAGATGCGCACACAGGACTTTGGAAAGTGATTAAAAGACTCTTTGCTAATGATCTTCAGATTTAGGAAGGGTGCAGACACCCAGAAAAACGTGGCTTCTACAGCCACAGGTCAGCCAGCTTCTTCCTGCAGGGACTAAACGCCACCAGTAGCTTGAAATTCAAAAGCTGGAAGGCAAAGAAACCATCACCCCGTGTGCCTTCAATCACGTCATTGCTCACGACTGAGTTTTGAGCTCATTTTCACAATTAAGCACATCAATAAAGCAGAGTTACAAAGCTGCGTGTTGGTTGCAAACTTTACCTTTGGTTTTTTCCACATTTTTTTTTTTCCCCTTAGATTGCCCTTTGTTAATGCCATCAGAAGGTAAATTCGGAGACTTTTGGGGTTTTGTTTCTTTTTTTTTTTTTTTTTAAGTCCGAGGCTTTGGGGATGAGTCGAGAGCTCCCGCTCCGCTCCACCGCACTTCTGCTTTATTGATTAGAGACCACCACCAGATCGGACACCTTGCCCCTTACCGAGGTAAGTGCCATATGTCACGTTTCTGTACTCATCCCAGGAGATAAATCCATCTTGATTCATGTCAAACTCCTGCCACTGGCGTTCGACACTGTCATACACGTATTTCTTCTGGGCCTTCTTAATCCAGGCTTTCAGCTCCCCCTCCGTCACAAACCCATCCTTATCCGTGTCTATCTTATCTACAATCATTCTACAAAAACAAAACAGCAAGTTTCAAGCGCCGGCTCCGCAAAGTTTTTATCCCAAGAGTAGAGACCTACCTAAGATGTAGCCGTAGGTGGCATTTTTATATTCCTCCCAAGAAATGAGGCCGTCCTCATTGAGGTCGTGCCCTTTCCACTGCCGCTCTACATCCTCGTATATCCAGCGCTTTTGTGCAAACTTAATCCAGTCTTTCAGCTCTTCCACAGTTACAAACCCGTCTTTGTCTTCATCTATTTTACTTACAATCTTTCTGTAGAAAATGCAGAAAAATCCAGCAAAAGTTAAGGGAAACAAGGCTCTAGTTCCGGGCACGTGAACCGGTGGCGGGCTATTGCCGGACGGCAGAGTGAGCGAGTCAAGGTGTTGATCACCAGGTCCCGGCAATCGGACCGCGCGGACAGCCCGTCCTTAAAACCAAGGTAGGGTTTAGCTGCCGAAACACCGGCTTGCTCACTCTTGGGCCGTTCGGGTTTTGTATTTTTTTGGGGAATCGCGCGTCTTAGGGGAAGGCATTTTCTTATTAGACTTTGGGAGATACCCAGTCGCGCGTCTTCCCGCCTCGACAGCGCGCAGGGAGTTAAGCACGTACACGTGCTTACGTTAAAAGCGGGAAGCCTGGCCCCGGTGAAGGGATACAGAGACCGAGCCCTGGCTCGTTTGCACGCCCGAGCCCAGCACGGCAGAAAAAACCCTCGCGGGACAGCGGTGAGAAGCTGACGTCGATGTCAGATCCCACCCGAGGACGATCCCCCACCCATTTACCGAGGGAGAAACCGGAGCTGCGTGGTTTATAAAGCAGGGTGCGAGGCCGCATGCCTTCTTTATTTTTAGCAGCAGCTGTGAAGAAAAGCCGCCGGGAGGAATGCAGAGATCCATAGGCAGATGCACGCGAGCCTCCGGCACGGGAAGGCAGGGCGCTCGGGGGGAGCTGGGCTCTTTAATCCTCACCGTTCCTCGTCTTTTGCTCCTAGGAGCTCTCGGGGCGTTCGCACGACGCGGGGCGGCCGCAGCACACGCCGCGTTTCCAGCTCAGCGCCGGGAACGTTCAGTTTTGTGCTTCCCCGCTCCCCGGCAGCACCGGGTGATTAAAGCCAGGGACGACAGCCCAAAACATTTTGCTCGGTGAACCAGAATCATTTTTTCCTTTTAACAGGAAGGTTCAGTGTGAAACGGGCTCTGTTAAATTCAGTAATCCGTCATTCAAATGCAGTGGTTTGAGGAATTTTAAAAGACGGTGTTTTAAATCACCGCAAGACTATTAATTCCCAGACTATCGATGCAAAGGGAAACGTCAAGTGCAAACCCAGCCTCGCCAAACAGACGCTGGAGCCACCCCGCACTTAGCGCCCAGGTTTTGTCGTTCCACAATTGCTTTTAAAAAGCAAAACCACGATTTCCTCTGTGGCACAAAGGATGTTCCTAAAAACAAAAGGCTGACTAGACAGCTGGGATAAGACCGGTAAAAATATTTGCTTTCCTTCTAGAAGAGTCTTTCAGCTCGATGCCGTACTTTACCTGTGGCAGATGGCAGCTTGCAGACCGTGCACCACGTTTCGGAGGCCCAAGTCATTTTAATAGTCGCTATTTCAGGGAAACAATTCAGCTTTTACAGACTGCATTGCCATTCGAGAGCAGGACAGCAACACCACCCCAGGAGCATGCAACACTCTGGCGTGGCAAGGCACGGCACAGGTTGAAGGCTCCCGTGTTGTTTGCCAACGGTTAAACTGCAAACACCAGAGTCGAGGACGGTTGGAGACTCGCTTCCCGGGAACTGCGGGCATCATCCTCCCCCGGCTTTATCACAACGTGGCCTCCGAGGACCAGATCCCATTGGGAATTTCCCCAACTGCTTCCCCAACCGTAAAATCCGAACCGTCCCAGCCTTATTAAAAAGGTTGCTGTGACACCAAACCCCCGCCCCGGCGTCAGCAAAACGCGGGGGTGACAGAGCAGAGCAGCCAAGTGACAAGATTCGGGCAGCGGCAGATCTCACACAAAACCACTTTTCATCTGTCCAGCCAAAGGTGACGAGGAATCGGCCACCGGCTGAGGCGCGGAGCGCTGGCTCAGCGCCCGGAGCCCGGGCATCGGCACGGCTAGCGGCCGTCACAAGGCTACCTCGGAAAGAAAAAAAAACCCACTCCGGAACGAAGAATTGGAGCCCGCATCGGGGCGACTTTTCCAGGAAAGGTTTCTAGGTGGGGCAGCAGAAGTTCAGAGGTTTAATTAGAGAACAGCTTCCCCGTTTAATTGCGTTAAGGGAAAGTTAAACTCTGTCCCCAGCTGTTGCTCGGGGCAAGCTCGG